TGGACTGAACTGGGCTTTAATATGGACCAGGAATTCTGGGCAGTGGCCTTTGTTCTGGACCTGCCAAAGACAAGATAGAATATCTTCCATGGAGAGATGAACAGAGATGGGACCTTAGAGGAGGACCCTTTTAATTTTACACAATCAGTAAGCTTTCCACTAACCCCCATCCTCCCATGGGGGCCTCAGGAAATTCATTTCCTCAGTGCTGCTACCTTTGAGGTGGGGTTCAGGATCTGAAGGAGGGGCTGACGTACAAATAAAAATGCTAAACAAGAAATATGAATTTAGAAGGCATTGAGGGCCAGGGGGAGCCTCTTTCTTCCTTTCTTTTTAAAATATATTTTATTGATTTTTTTTTTTTTAACAGAGAGGTATGGAGAGGGATAGATAGCTAGAAACATTGATGAAAGAGAAATATCAATCACTTACCTCCTGCACACTTTCCATGGGGATGTGCCCGAAACCAAGGTACATGCCCTTGACTGGAATCGATTTCAGTCTGCAGGCAGACACTCTATCCACTGAGCCCAACCAGTTAGGGTAGGAGCCCCTTTCTTGAAGAGATACACTTACTTTTGGCCAGGTCCACTATTTATTTATTTGAATACACAATTCCCTTTAGCAATGCCTACAGGCATATCAAAGGTAAAGTTTGGTAAACAGTAAAAGGATTATCAGGTTAGGGAATTGCCTTGAGCCACTGATATCTCAACACTCAGTGTTTAGCATCAATCCTGCTAATGTCCAAGGTCCATTGGACTTCCACGTTCCTTGGTGCACTGACAGAATTGGGGAGCAGAGACTTCCTGCACTCAAGGCCCCCCAAGAACTCCACTTACACTGATAACATTACTACCAACCTTAAGGGAATATTATGAACAACAGTTTGCCAACAAATTAGGTAACAAACAGAAAAAAATTCTAAGAAAAATACAAAATGTCAAATCTGGCTCCAAAAGAAGAAGTACATCTGAATAAACTAATAACAAGTAAAAATATTGAGCATAATGAGTATCTGTTAGCCAAGTTACAATTTAAGACAGGTCTTTGGAAATACTCAATGTGAATGTTGGAGGTGGGATGAAATGGGTAATTGTAATTACCTTCATAAAGATAAAACTGCATTTAGAATGTTTAAAAACCTCTCCAAAAGTTGGTATAGATAAGGGCTGCAAACAGGTACAGACATTAGTTCAGGTGCTAATGTCTGCCTAAAGTTCTACATTGTTGAGAGTGATTCTGAAATATTATCTTAAGATCTTTAAATGAGGGAATGTTCTGTGAATTCCACATCTTTGTCATGCACAAAGAACTAAAGTGGTACTGATACCATGGTAATCAGCTAGTTATTAGGAAAGAAGCAAAGAGAAGGCCAGGCATTATAAAGATGGTCATTTGGGCAGCTTCACCAGGAAGCTGCACCTTTACACTTCCCAGGGAACCACCTTCTATTCCCTGTAGATCACCTGGGAAAGGCCTGGACAAAAAGATGGGCGCATGCGCAGTAAAATTGGGGCGGTGTAAAGAAGGTGTGTGCTGCCAGCCAAACCTCAGAACAAAAATCATTGGCCTGAGGGGGTGAGGACCACTGCAAGTCATGAAAATTTGGGAATACATAACCCCCCAGACACAGCAATTCTCTCTTTTGGCGCTCTTGGCTCTTCTGTGGCTCTCTTGTATTGGTCTGTATTCCCACCATAGCCACGTGGCCCTGAGGAGCCCGCATGCAATGGACTGATGGACTGCAACTGGGAACACAAACTAAGCTAGCCTGCTGCTGGATTGGACTGTCCCCCAACCGGGACTGGCAACTCCGGACCCTGGCTTTGATCTTAACCCTGCTGAAAACGAAATGGGACTTTTTTCTTGGTGGGACAAAAAGAAATGGGACCTTGGAAACTTAGGGGTTTAATTCCACAGAAATATAGATTTTTGCAATATCTCATTCTCCCATGTGAGTCTCCTAAAATCATTTTTTTTCCTTGTGATATGACAAGCCCATTTCCAATGCAACAGGTGAGGAAACAGAGAACTCCCCACGGATAAAGTACTCTTTTGTGACTTCTGATTTGTTTGTTCATTGAGAGGGTAGCTAATATTAAACCAGTGTGGGATGGGAGAAAGAGGGGAGGAAGAAAACAAAGAGAAATAAAAACAGCAATTTAGTTCTGATGACTATAGTAAGATAGAAGATTAAACTTTTTTCCACAAAGAAATCCTAATTCCTCCCCAGGAAATTGAAGTAGATAATTCTGTGGTAAAACGTATATGGCAAACTTAAGTCATTTAGGCCACAATGATTTACCCTCTTTTCCTTAGCCAGGGTTATTTCAGTAATCAACTCAATTTCACTTTGAACATATTATCTTAAATATATTTTAATTATTGGTTGCTTGCTATAATGTAAAGAAAAATTACATTTTTACAAAAAAAATTATTGGTTGACATTTAAGGCAAATCATCACAGTCTAAGTTTATTATAATGACACCCTTTTTCTTTCTTAGTTCTGGGCACTAAATCATCCTGCATGATTGACTTTTCATTACCTTCATCTTCTATCTATACTTACTTTCTATGAGGTCAGCTCTTCAGCATAAGATTCAAATATGAGTGAAATGAAATAATGGAGCAGCACCAGTGAGATGGAGATGGGTAAAATCCTCTCCAGACTCACTCTGAATTACTACTGGGCTCCCTTTCAATTCTGGGCATCACATTTCCACTGAAGGGATATACTGGTAGCTTCAATCAGGACGGCAAAGCATTGATGACAACAGGTAAGAAAAGTAAACACTGCTAATTTGCACCATGTAAGTATAATAATAATAATAATAATAATAATAATAATAATAAAGGAAAAAAGACTATGATACCAGGGAGAGGTGGGGTCTTCTTTCTTCTCAGAAAGACACCCATTTTTTTATTGTGAAAGTGAATGACTTCTGCTAGGTTTCCATGGTTTTGTATATAATGAGGATTGGAGTTGCACGAAGTACCCTTTTAGGAAGGTTTCCACATAGATTCATGACACAGTAATCTTACTAAGGATGCAGACAGAAAAAAAAACAAACAAAAAAAAAAACAAAAAAAACAAGAGCAATTAAATGAAAATCAAATTTTGATAAGAATACTCAGTTGTCTAACTTAATGTTAAATAGTGTCCCAGGTACTCTAATTTACATGTAATGTTTCATATAAGTTAAATATTCTTGGTTACCTACATATATTGAGAAGGAAGAAATGAACCTGCTGGGAGAGCAAGGATCTTTATATATATATATATATATATATATATATATATATATATATATACATATTTTGAATATATATATATATATACACATATTTTGAATATATATATATATATTCAAAATATGTGTGTATATATATATATATATATATATATATATATATAGAGAGAGAGAGAGAGAGAGAGAGAGAGAGAGAGAGAAAATTGAATATTGACTTGGAGAAAACATGATTTCCCTCTCACCAGCTAAGTGACCATGAGAGAGTCATTCATTTGGCACCAAATTAGCAGAGTAGTTTGTTTATTGGGATCCAGTATTGTGACAAAATCAAAGTACTTAGGGATGGCATCCATAAACTCCTAGAGCATGCAACAGAGTGGACAAGAAGAGACTTACTAGACCTTTTGCACTTAGAACACTGAACCAAAACATCCCTTTGATCTAGGACTCTCTCCTCTCCTCTCTTTCTTGCTCTTTTTTTTTTTTTAAATTATTTGTTTTTTGGGGGGAGGTGACATTGGTAAACATGAACAGATATTTATTTCTCTCTTTAAAAAAAAATCCATAGCAGAGGATATGTTTTTATTGATTTTTTTTTCTAAAAGGAATAAGGGGAGACAGAAACATCGATGTGAGAGAGAAATATAAATTGCTTGTCTCAGGTCCAGCCCCTGACTGGGATCCAACTGGTAACCTATAGGTATGTGTCCTCAGTAGAATTAAACCCAAACCTTTGTCATGTATCTTGAGCCAGGCACTGATCTCGATTCTTTAAGTCTGCAGTATTAACTCATTTAATCCAATACAACACTTCTCTCTATTTGATGGCTGGAGAACTGAAGTACAAAGAGATTGAAGAAATTGCTGTCATGTAATTGTTTAGTGGGGTAGGTGGCATTCCAGCCCAGCCTGGCTATAGAAGCTGTACTTTTAACCACTGCTCTTTGCTTTCTTTCTTTGCATTTATACCCTTAACATGATGTTAACTGCAAAATAAGGTGTAAACTAATGAAAGGGGTGCTAAGGGTTAATGCTGAAGCACATCCTCGAGCTGGAAAACACACACACACACACACACACACACACACACACACACACACACACACATACGCTAGCAAAGCTGGTTGCAGCAGCCCCCGCAGGACAGTCAATGGGTCTCCTGTTTCTTTAAACTCTCGCTTTCGCTGTGGCTGACACTTTACAAAGCAGCTTCGGCGGCCGGACCGCGCTGCCCCGCGCCTCCTCCCTGCACCCGCCTCGGGGGGTCTGGGGTTCCAAAGGGCTTCCCGGGGTCACTAAGCATACCCGCTCTGGTTTGCTTTCCTCACACACCATCCACGGCCATGCAAGCCCTCCCGGGACAGGAGAACTCTAATTAACCCCTTGGCGTCCAGAAAGAACCTCTCCACGGCCAGGATCGCCCGCAGTCTGCCCCCTCCCCCGATTCTCGCGCCCCTCCCCGCCCAGTCTGGCTCCAAGGCGACCCGAGAGCCGCCCGGAGGGCAGCCAGGTGCGGGGATGGCGTCCCAGCTGCGCGGAGGTGCCACCCGCCCCTCCCCTCCCGGCTCGGCATCCTCCCCGCCTCTCCCGGCGCCCAGGGCCGCCGGCTGCGGGGGGCGAGCCGCTCGGGGTTCCCCTCTGACTCCTCCTCGCACCGCTCCCCGGATTTTAATCTCCCGGCGACTCTCCTGCCAGCTCCGAGGGAAGCGCAGCCATTGGGCAGGTTGGGGCGAGCTGAGCCACGGGTTTCGGGGAGGAAGGTGGAGCGGCTGGAGGAGCGGGGGAGGGACGTGGGAGGAGAGCGCCGCGGCCGGTCTGGCACACGGCGCGCCGCCTCTCCGCCCCAGAGCTCGGAGCCGGAGCCGGGGCGCCGGGAGCGCGGCCGGGAGTCTCCTCCGCCACCCAACTCCGGCTTAGGCGGGGCTGGGGCCGCCTCCTCCTGAGCCAGGAGGAGCCCTCTCTGCATAGCTTCCAGCCGGATTTATTTTTCTACCCATCTCTTTGTTCTTCTTCCCCCCTTTTTCAAAAAAACAGTTCTGTGTGTTTGTTCTTTTTCCGCCCTGACTTTGGATCTCGGAGGCTGCAGTCGGCGCCTCCCGGGCTCCGCTCCGCGGGCTGCCCATCCCTCCGGCGGCGGGAGGGACGCGCGCCGGGCGTGGGGCTCCGAGAAGAAGAAGAAAAACTTGTCGGAGGGGTTTCGCCGGTCCACACAGTCACCCCCTTTCCGCACACCCCAAACCTGCCCGCGGTGGCCAACCCGAGGCCGGGAAAAGTTCCTTCGGATCCCACTGCGCTTCGGGCTTTGGAGGAGGCACCGCGCCGGCGGTGGAACCGGATCTGTGTGAACCCAGCGGAGCGCATCGCATCGCGGGGCTCGGGAGGCGACAGGGAGGCTCTGCCGGGGCGGGAGCCGAGTTTGCCGGCCCGGCTGGGCTGCCAGGGGTCTCTCCTCCCCGCGGCGCGGTCTTTGTCCGGGGTGAGGGCTGGGAGGGTCGCGGCAAGTTGCGAAGAGAGGAACCCGAGGTCCGGAGAGGACTGCGCTCCGAGCCCCTGGCACGCCCTGCCTCTCCCGGCTCCCGGGCGTGAGATCCCAGCGACACCGACCGAGGCCGCCCCGGACCCCGGGGACCCTCCGCGGCGCGGAGCTCCGATCGCCCCGGCCCGCCCGAGCCCCGGCGCCGGGGAACCGGCGGGAGGAAGAGGAGGCGGAGGTCGCGGCGGCGGCGGCGGCGGCGGCGGCATGGCGAGGCTCCCGGGGGCCGCCCCGGCTGCTGCGGGAGTTGTGCTGCTACTTTGCCACTTTTTCCTGGGCCGCTTCCAGTTCGCCCACGGGGAGCCTGGGAACCGCATCAATGGTAAGGTAACGCTTTTCGAAAGCTTGTTGCTATTTTTTTTTTTTTTTGTGTGTGTGTGTGTGTGTGTGTGCGCGCAGCTGAGGACCTCCAGGACACCTCCATCCTCAACCACCTCCCCCCCCCCCCCCCCATCTGTGCTCTTCGGAAAGTTACTGCAGTTGCCTTTGGGGGCAAACTTGGGCTTTCCAAATGGGGGGAATAGGCATGGCTAGCGAAGGGTGGAGGGGACCTTTCAGGAGGGTTCGGGCTGGCTTCACCTGAGCGCCAGGGGGTGGCACGGACTCCCCCCAAGGCGCCCCGAGAGGACTCGGGGGTGAGACAAGCCTCCTTCTGTGGATTCCTCGCCCTGGAGGGAGCTGGCATCCCTGGGCTGCCTCCTCCCAGGGTCCCCCTCCTCCCCTGCCGCCCGGAGACACTGAGGGGGGCCGTGGGTGGAGGACTTGATGGCAGCCGGGATTGCAAGGCTCCTGTCAGCTGGAGAAAATGACCAGCGGCTGCACCTTTCTCCCCCAGGCGTTCCCTAGCTGGCGCTGAAAGTGGGGCAGGGGAGGTGTGGCGGGGCGCCGAGGAGCGGGGGAGGTGGCACATGTAGGGCGGGCGCGCCTCTGTGACCCACCCCTGGCCCCATTGTCCTCCGCCGGCTGGTTGGCTTTGCTGACGGGCCTGAATGTGCGGGGAGGGGGAGGGGGGGTGTTCCCCGAGTGCCCTGCCTCTGCCCCCGCGCGCGGCCCCGGCCCCGCAACTTCCCGGGGCAGCGCCTCCCGCTCCTGCCGCAGCTCCAGCCTGGTGCGCGGCCAGCGGGAGCCGCGCCCCGGGGCGGGGGGCGCGCCGTGCAGTCCCCGTTCGGCCTCCGCTGGCTCCTCGGGGCCCGGCGCTGAGCCCGGGGTCCGCCCGCCTCCCAGGACCCTGCCCCTGTCCGCTGGTGCGGGTCTCCCCTTTGGACCACTCAGAAGGAAAGTGAAGAAACAGGCAGAGACAGACCTTAGCAGACATTTGTGAACTCGGGGGACTTCAAGAATAGGTGCAATAAGAAAGAAAGAAAGAAAAAAAACAAAACACCAGGAGGGGGGGAAAAGAGACATTTCAGTTTACCATAATAAGATTTTGATTTGTTTTAATTCTGGGAGCTGAGGGATTCCTCAGAAATTACAAAAGTGTCCAAAAATGTCAGAAGGGAAAGTGGCAGATGGAAGAAGGCCAGGGAGGGCACCTGGGGATTCCAGGTGAGTGCATCTTCAAGGAGGTACTTGAAGGAGGTTATATAAGCTGAAACCTAAGAGTCAGACAGACAAAATACTGTCTGCCCCAGGTGCAAATTCTTAGAGGAAGTACAGATGCCGGATTGGAGGGGTGTCTGTGCGTGTATAGAGAGGGCGGGGACAGCATGATGATCACACTTTCAAAACTGAATAAAACACATTTCCTGGAAGTTGAGTATCTTGACCACATGCAGTTTTTCTCTGTACTCAGACATTGGTCATTCTTCACTAGGTATTATTTAGATCAGTAGATCATACCTTCCTTTATTTCTCTGGTAACATTGATTAAACAAACAAACAAAAAGACTTACCCCTCCAGGAAGCAATACATTTATTTTAAAAGGTGCCAACAGTAATTTTCATGGACTTTTGCATGGAGTAAATAGATGCCTTTAAGAATATAAGCAATTTAATTCACCTCAAAGGAAGTCAAGTTGGTGTGTGCACCAAAATGCATCCCAAGATGTTTATTTGAAAACTTATTTGGACCTGGAGGTAAATAACGCATTTACACTAAAAAGTAAAGAAAAGCAAGTGTTTATTTTGTTCTGAGAAATTTTCATTAAAAAGTATAATACTGAGAAAATAATATATACAATGAATTTACTATTTTTACGGTAGTTCTTAAATTGAAGATAAAATTCATTTCACTCTAAAATTGATCAGGTAGTTAAAAGCCTTTGCTTTGGGAGATATGAAGTAGTTAAATTGTTCAACATAAAGGTGCAGATGTGGTAAACCAGCCCAATATTTCCTGGTGGAAAACTACTCTGAAAACCCATTTATTTATAAGATTGAATAAAAAAGGGATAGTTTTAAATTTGTTGACAAATTATTTGGAGACTTATTATAGATGGAAGTAGCTTCTTTTCTGGATATTAATTTACATATAGTTTTATGAAATAATCCTGGGATAAAATAGCCTACCGAATATATCAGCTACAGCAATGAAATGGAAGAAAAAAATAGTTTCCTATTCCTATTAAAATAGTCTAGCTAAACGTTCAACACAGTAAATAACAAAGAATCCAACAGTCTTGGAATTTGGAATGTAGCAATCAGGATTTTTATTACAGACATTTTGGCCTTGGGGTGTAAAATCTGATTTCATAACAGGGATATTTTATTATGCATTACTTGAGTAATGCTGCAGTTGATCTTATTGCCACCAGAGGGCAGAAAAACTGCTATTTTCTTCTATTTCCATTCCACAAATCTCTGATTAATGATCCTTAGTGTTTTGTTTTTCCTATGTGTAATATTTTTTTGGTATTTCAGCTTCTATAAAGGGGTGACGATTTTCTATAATGAGAGCTTGTTATATTTTTTGTTTTTATTGAAATTAACTAAATATAAATTCATTCAACCTCCTACATGTAAAAAGACCTACACTTTGAATACATCCTTTATGGCGTAATAAGTGCAGTGGAAAAAAACAAATACACTCGTTTGTTTTATTGCTGGAGATTGTTAAAAAATTACTGTAGAATTCCCAAGAATATAGCTTTAAAATACCTTTCATTTTATTAGCTGAAACCGGTTTGGCTCAGTGGTAGCAGTGGTAGAGCATCGGTCTGTGGACTGAAAGGTCCTAGGTTCGATTCCGGTCAAGGGCATGTACATTGGTTGCGGGCACATCCCCAGTAGGGGGTGTGCAAGAGGCAGCTGGTCAATGTTTCTCTCTCATCGACGTTTCTAGCTCTCTATTTCTCTCCCTTCCTCTCTGTAAAAAATCAATAAAATATATATTTTTTAAAAAAAGGTCATTATTATATAATTAATTTAATTTAAGGATTGAATATACTTTATGCCTATCTACACAGTCTTTGCTCATACTAAGTAGTATATCTTAACACCAATACTAAGAATAAGTATTGGAATAATAAATCTCAAATCCTCTTTATATTGTAATACATTCATTTTTGAAAAACAATTTAATAACAATGTCCAAGGAGAGAGATGTATTAATATCTTGAAAATTTCTAAATTTTAAGTGAGGAAAAAAGGCCTAAAATATGTAGTTAGATTTTTGTTTGAGCATTACTCTCAAATGTAACTTAATGCAACAAGCAAGCTTATTATAATACTACGCAGAGAGAACAAAGCTAGTTTAGTACCCAAGGAGATTTTAACTTTTTAAACTTTCTAATATTGTTTTGTTCTAGTAACAAGTAGTTCATTTTTAGTAGGTTATTTAAATTTATGTTCCTTATTTCTCCATTGAGTATTTTATTTGTCTGCTCTCATTGGAATTACAAAACTTAGTGTGAAACATTACTGACTTGTGGAGTTTGTTATGAGAGTATCTCCAACTGCAAAAGACATGGATCAGGTAATCAGACAAATGACAGCCATTACTTGTGATTGCATACAAAATTTTTACAATATAAAATGTGAGAGGCTTTGTCCTTTAGAGAATACATCAAGTTGAATCCTGAGGTTGTGACATCAGTGTGATCTAGAACATTTATGTCAGAGATAAGGTTTCAGTTCATGAATATCTGCATAGAATTTGAGTTAGTATATTTACAAAGATGAATGAATTGATCAACAACTGTGATCCTGAGATTGAAAGTCTTAGCTATTTCCTTTACATACAGTTTCTTCGCTGTGACTTTCAAGACCATGTCATCTCAAACTACTTTTCCACCTCTCTTTCCTCTGTATGTTTTTTTTTTTAACACTCTAACCCAGTGGTCAGCAAACTCATTAGTCAACAGAGCCAAATATCAACAGTACAAGGATTGAAATTTCTTTTGAGAGCCAAATTTTTTAAACTTAAACTTCTTCTAACACCACTTCTTCAAAATAGACTCACCCAGGCCGTGGTATTTTGTGGAAGAGCCACACTGAAGGGGCCAAAGAGCCGCAGTTTGCTGACCACTGCGTCTAACCAAATGTAGCTTCTTGATGTTCTCCGAGCATATATCATGTGTTGCTATCTCTTTGCCATTCCTTCTGCTCTTCCTCCCTAATCCATCTCCATCCATCCATCTTCTACTTTCCCCTTACAGCCTTCACAAAACGACGTGATGTTCTAGATCCCATAGAGAACTCTATGCCTCCTGTAAGGCTCTTGTTTAGCTCTGCATGATATTATAGGAGTATTTTTCCCTTCCTTTTCTGCACCTCTTTCATACATTCTCATAGACCACATTGCATGCTCTGAAAGTCACAGTCTACATAATTCCCGCTGAATCCCCCGAGGCATCTACCACCTAGACTTGCAATAAACAGTTGTTGAACTAAGTGGAATTATAGTTCAAGCTAGATGGACTGTTGACTTGAAGGTCACATTGGAAGGCGTTTTCTTAACTCTATCACTTCTTCATCAGTAACATGAAAATGAATATATAGGTGGACTTTATAGAATAATCATTTAAAATGAGAGAATAGGATGCAGAAGTCTGCCCAATTGTTAAAGTGTATCTAGTAGATGATATATATTACACTAAATTTTCTATTAATATATAGAACTTTGAAAAAGTTTATTTTACCATTCTGGTTTCTGACTCAACTTTCTCCCATGTTCTTAATCTAATACCTTAAAGCAGTGGTTGGCAAACTCATTAGTCAACAGAGCCAAATATCAACAGTACAATGATTGAAATTGCTTTTGAGAGCCAAATTTTTTAAACTTAAACTTCTTCTAACGCCACTTCTTCAAAATAGGCTCTCCCAGGCCGTGGTATTTTGTGGAAGAGCCACCACGCTCAAGGGGCCAAAGAGCTGCATGTGGCT